AAAAAAAAAAAAAAAAAAAAATATATATATATATATATATGAATTTATATAGATATAGATTCAAAATAACCTTTTAAAAATTACCTTACCTTACCTTTTATTTATTTTTATTTTTTTTACTAATGTGGAAATAGGTTTCCATATTATACACACACATCCACAATACACTATAATTCAGTTTGGGGTCAGTACACTGTAAAAAAAAAAAGTCCCGTAAAAAAAAGGGTCAAATGACTGGCAGCTACGGCTGCCAAACAAAAACCGTAAAATTAAAGTAAAATGTCTTAATTTAAACAAGGAAAAATCTGTAAAATAAAAAAAATGTTTACTAAAACTTTTAATGAAAATTTCTGTTAAAATATTGTTTTTGCACTTTATTTGAATTAAGATATTTTACTTTAATTGTACGTTTTTTGTTTGGCAGCCGTAGCTGCCAGTCATTTACCATTTTTTACGAGTTTTTTTTTATATTGTAAGTTTTTTTAAATGTTTTTGAAAGAAGTCTCTTATGCTCACCAAAGCTGCATTTATTTGATTAAAAATACTGTAAAAATTATAACATTGTGAAATATCATTACAATTTAAAAGAACTGTTTTCTATTTGAATATATTTTAAAATGTAATTTATTCCTGTCTTGTCCAGTCCAGTCGATGTCACACGATCCTTCAGAAATGATTCTAATATGCTGATTTGGTGCTCAAGTAAATAGCTCTTATTATTATCAATACTGAAACAGTTGTGCTGCTTAATATCTTTGTGGAAACATTTGTGGAAGACATTTTCTCAGGATTCTTGAATAGGCACTTTTGATCAAATTAATGCATACACTGAATGTATAAATTGAAAAAAAAAAAAAAAAAAAAGTACTTACCCTACACTTTGAGCAGTAGTTCATGTATTTCTTTTTTTTTATCCTGAGTCCTGAAGGCAAAATTTTCAGAGCAGCACATATTCTTGCATATCTATGGCTAATCATCCGTGTCAGATATGATATTATGATCTCATATGAGCTGCACACATCCTGTAAGTTTAATGTGTATTAATAGGTCAACAAAGTGTTGCCAGTATGTGGACAGATTTATCACAAGCAGATGTTTTTTTTTCACATTCCCAGTGTGTGTATACCTGTGAAAAGAACATCTCAGAATTAATAGGCCATCAAGAGGATACAAAGCTTCAGTTCATTAAAAACAAATGGAGACGTCTTTATTCAATCAGCGTGCGTGTTTTATTTATCAGCGTGATTGTATTTTCTCTTTCCTGTGTACACAGCATGTATCGCGTCCTTATCTCTGTGAACCTTTCCCTGCGAGTTGATCTGATATGCTCAGCGTTAAGTGGCTCTGGCTGCTGATGTATATTAGCTGCATTAGCTCAGCCACTGGCTTTGCTTGATAGAGTCAGTAGCTCCTTACTTCTACTCGGCGATTGTAATGATCACATTAAATGCTGCCCTGAGTGTAAACAAAGGATGCGGCGGTGACTGGACGAGAGTCCTCAGCTCTCTAAGCCAGATTTGGCATCGCTTACACATGGAGACCTTTTTTATGTATTTTATAGGGACAAGCTCACAGGGCCACTGTTTGTAAGATATATTTAATGTTAAAAGGAGTGATGATTATGGATAGATCTAGAGAGAGAGAGAGTTTTTTGTTTCTTTTTTTTTTTACTTATACGAGCAGCTAATCAGTCCTCACTCTGGAGTTGGACTGTTGCTATAGCAACACCATTATTCTTGTGTTCTCTTTAATCTGCTTGAGCCTGTTGTGATGAAGTGAGGCTTACCGATCAACCTTGTGCCGTTGTGTATAGACTGTAATAATCTGTCAGTCTTGAGATATTGTTTTTTGTGCAGTGAGGAGTATGAGCTTTTTGTAATACCATATGTAGTATGGTGAGATAAGGTATAAGGTGTAATTATGATGGCTTACTGAAAAACATACAGTAAAATAACATTTTTGTCTCTTAGCTTCTCTAATGCTGTAGCATAGAGAGCATTGCGGATGGACAGGCGCTTTTGAATTTGTGTAATGCAAAATTTTAGTATTTTGCATTAATGTTCTTAAATATGAATCAAAGGGTGCTTGTCATGATATTTTTGTTTTGGTGTAAATAGGAGTTTCCCTAAAGATTCATGATGAAACATTTTAAATTAATAAAAAAGTAATACATTTTAAATTAATAAAATAAATATAAATATAAAAAAAATATGCATAAAAAACATATCGTAATTTTCCTGCTGTTTATTTATGTTCAGGTCAGAGATTGTTATTGTTAACTAAAACTAAAACCATAAAAATGTGTTACTTTAAATAAAATAAATGTTAACAGATATAATGATTATAATAAAAAATTGTAAAAAAAATTTTTTTTATTCAAGCTAGTTGCCAAGGCAAAATTTCTTATTTTCATTTGAACTTTTTTTTTTTACTAAAATAATTAAACCTGAAATAAAAATTCTGAAAAAAACTGTATAGACAATACATTATTTTTTTTTAAATAATAAAAATGACAAAAACACACAGCAAAATTACTAAAACTTTACCTAAAATTAAAATAAAAACCCAAATATTAAGCAAAATAATTAAATTAATAATCAAAAATAATTTCTAATTAAAATAATAAATTCAAAATATCAACAAAAACTAAAATAGTGTATCAGTTACTATAATAACACTGATTCAGGTTGTGGTGGCAGCAAAAAGCCAATAATTAAATATAAATAAATATTAAACGTTTTATTGGAATTAAATACATTATTCATAATATTTATTGAGAGTTTGCAATATTGAAATCTCAGGGAGCATCTAAAAAAAAAAAAAAAAAACCTGAACGCATCTGCATAGCGCAAGTATTGTCACAAACATCTTGTTTTCTGGTGGTGGGCCATGCAGCGGCGGCAATGCAAAGAGTCTATGATGCAAACCCCAGCAGTAGAAGATATCTTGTCTTTGTATATGGCCCTGTCATATTTATTGCATAAAGGTCAGAGTGTTAATTTGTTCAAAGTCAGCGTTTTTCCACGCTCCTCCATGTAATAAATGCAGAGGGGATGTCATTATTGGACCGCTGAGGATTAAAGGCTTGACTGCCTGTGATGACTGCATAAAAAAGCCCCTCCACTTCTTTTGTTTCAACAAGTGAGCGTCCTACAGGAAGACTGCACTCGCCATACAATGACAACCAACGTTGTTGTAAACAGACACTCCTCAAAGGTGGATGGAGCATTGGTGAGAGAGGGTTGTGTAACCCGATTAATAAAGGTAAAGAAGGATGAGTAACTAATGCTCTCAAATGCCTTTGAATTAATTGCCTTTTGAAAAGCAAATGTATTCAGGACTCGTATGTAGTGGAGGGTCTTGTTTACGGGGAGCATCTAAAAAAAAAAAAAAAAACCTGAACGCATCTGAATGCATAGCAGATTATTGGGGTACATCTCTCTTCATTACAGATGTTGACACCACTAAGGATCCTTGCCAGAAGGTCAAATGCAGCCGACATAAGGTGTGTGTCGCACTGGGCTACCAGCGTGCTGTGTGCGTCAACCGCAAAAAGCTGGAGCACAGGTGAGCCCTTCAGCTCCAGCACTGTCTTCATGCACATAACAGTAATACACGACAGGATAGTGTTTGTTTTTTAGGGTATATGAATAAAAGAAACTGGGTGCCATTCTAAGGCACTGTGCAGAATGTAACTGTCCAATCTAGCTTTTCATTATTCATATCATGAAGAATCACGTTTCTGAGCTTTTAAGATTCAGATGATTGGCTGAGTGCGTATGAGCAAAGATGGCTGTTTAGAAAGAAGTCTTAAAGCGTTAGTTCACCCAAAAATGAAAATGAGGCTGTGTTTTACTCACCCCAGAGGCATCCTAGGTGCATATGACTTTCTTCTTTCAGACGAATCCAGTCAGAGTTATATTAAAAATTGTCCTGGCTATTCCAAGCTCTATCATTGCAGTCAGCAGGTGTTGCAGTGCTTCAGTCCAAAAGAAGTGAAATAAAAAGTGCCCATCCATAAAAAAAAATGTCTCATACGGCTCCGGGGGGTGAACAAAGGCCACTCTTAAAATAAATAAATAAAATGGTTATGATCTGTTTATTTCCACAAGCGTTAAAAAATGTTAATTCACTTGTGAAGAGAAAGTCATATTTTTTATAGAGGTGAAATAAGAGCAATTTATTAAAGCATGCACGTGTTGTTTGGTGTCACATTGTGAGGTACACAGATTTAGTCCCTGGATGTTTGTTCTTTTTACAAATTGAACTTGTTCCTGAGGCCGTCCCTAAGGGACTGGTTCTCATTGTAGCGCACAAATAACTACAGAGAATGTTTTGTTAACTTTAAATTAAAAAATGGGCCAATGATGTGCTGTTCCTATGCATTTGAGTGACCAGTGCTCAAGCATGCCTCAGTTTATATCTCATATTGAATATTGATGATATTATTGATGGCATGTTAATATTGACTGATGCGTTTTAGGTTGAAGCAGCAGGTTATTAGACAGCAGCAGGAGAGTAACTGTAAATCTTGCCCAGGATCTTCCTCTGGTCCCGTTTGTGGCTCTGATGGACACAACTACGCCTCTCAGGTACTTCACACAGCATTAAACTTCCTTTAATTGTATTAAAATAAGCTGAACTGCAGAGAAATTGATCATATCCATATGATCAATTTCTCTGCAGTTCAGCTTATTTGAATACAATTGGATTTGTTGCACTTTTGTGCTTGTTCAGACTTTTTTTTTTTGTTCAGAGGTTTTTGTTGGGTCGACCCAAAAATGAGCTTCATATTCGCTAAATCAGTAAATTCCAGCCAGGGATCGGTTTTGCTTTGTCAAATCTTTAAAACAAAATTGAACTTCTGTGGCTGACAGTAGATTAAAATAATTAATCATGCTTAATAATGTTTTTAACTGCATTTAGTTCCTTTACATCCAACATTTGTATAAACTGATGATGCATTTCTGTCAAAGGTGATATTTCATACTTGTTGAGCTTCTGAATCCCACCACACAAGAAAGACCACATATATCTTTCTCTAATTTTGTTAAACATCCCATCTGGATTCATTTATAAAGAAATTTGCTGCTAGGCCTTTCTTGGAGAACGTTTCCCCATGAATGCCCCCAGAACATTTTCCCAGAGAGCGCACAATAATTTGTGAAAGACAAATAGGACATGTCTCATTAAAGGGAAGGAAAAGTACTTAGTAAGTTTGTTGTTTTAAGTGAATCATTGTAATAATGGCCTTATGACTTTAATGACTTTAATATTGTTAATAATAATGATAAATAATATCCAGTATAAATATAATGTCAATATAATGTGAAACACTGATCTAGTCACAAATATTATAACCAAATTAACACTAGCTCAGGTAATTTTTAAGTCAGATCAGGTAAAAATATTTTCTTAGTCCTGTCAACAAACCTGTAAAGAAAATTCATAATCCTTTCACTATCCTGCAACTTTGGACAATGACGTTATTTCTATTCTTGTTATTCTGTGCCATTCAAAAAAACATTCTCTATTATTTTCTGTGACTCATGGATCAATCTGCTTGCGCGGTATGGATAATGGTCTCTATTATACCTTGTATTCTGGCCCTTGACATCCTTAAAAGTCAAAGAATTGTCTGAAGAGATTCTGGGTACTTGGGGATGAAAGAACCGTTCTGTTGAATTATGTATTATCTCTATTATATCTATTTCTGACCTTGTGAGGGAAGAAATGAAGGTTGACATCAGCTTCTTTTAATGAAGATGTCTTGTCTGAACCAGCGATTTTCACTCGTCTGTAGAAATAATTGTGCTCTATCTGGGCTTACAATTCATGCCACTGAACTGGAGCATGTGACACTGGACAAGTGTTATGGCGGCACTGCTTGTTCTTTGTGTGTGTGTGTGTGTTGCACCTGAATTTAGTGCAAACTGGAGCAGCAGGCTTGTCTCACAGGGAAGGAATTGAAAGTAAGATGTACTGGTCTCTGCCCCTGTACTGCCACCGCGGCTCCTGCTACAGACATGGACAGCAAACACGGTATTTACCTGCCACATGCTTCCAACAGCTGCAATTTGGTCTTGCAAAGCTTGTTAATGGGATAGTTTCACCAAAAATTATTTACTCAACCTTGTGTCGTTCAAGACCTGGAACACAAAATAGGATATTTTTTTTAAATCAGTTGTTTTGGACCCCATTAAAAGAGTAGTTAACCCAAAAATTCACCCAATTTTCAGAAAATGTACTCACCCTCAGGCCATCCAAGAAGGAGAAATTTAGCATTACTTCAGAAGAAAGTCAGTCATAAAATTTTGAGTAAATGATGACAGAATGTTAATTTTTGCCTGAGCTATCCCTTTAAGATACTCTTGTAAATAAGCACCTTCTGTCTTGAATGAAGCACAATAGAAGGGCCAGCTTTTAAGTTTATAGGATCATATTTTCATGATAATAATGAATGGTTTTATTCTGAGATTGCTTCTGATGCCATTTGTCTCTTTCACATACCTTTGAGCAGTCTGCAGCTCTCGCTCTTACAACGGCTTTATTGATTTATCAACAGACTATGCTGCTCTTTTTCTTTCTTTGCTGCTTGCTTTGTGAATTTCTGCTGACTTTGATTATGTCTGAATTATGTCTGCCGTCTCCGCAGGCTTTTCTTGTCAAATTCAGAAGGGCAAAAGCAGGATGATTGGTTCTTCACTCTTTAATACCAACGTCTGCCAACACTCCCTTATCTCCTTTCACTGTCTCCGTCTCTCTTCTTTTCTGTCCATAGAGAGTTGCACAGGGCAGGACCTGGCAGATCTGGGAGATCGCCTGCGGGACTGGTTCCAACTGCTCCAAGGCAACGGCAAGCAGAACAGCACGGGGAATCCTGTAGCCAGTTCTGCATCAAGTGAGGCTCTAACATCTATTTAGCCAGTGCTTTTATATTCAGAAATTACAGCAGCTTCACTACGGATCAGCAGCATACAGTGACTCTAACCTCATTTATTTTGGTTGTGTCATTTCAAGAAACGATACAACCATACAGCTGTATTCTTTTTAGTATTTTAAACACGGACCTATGATAATTGGCACTAAAACTGCAGTGTAAAACTTCAGATTCAGGGCTGTTATGTTTGAATTGTGTCCTATCCTGATGGCCAAAGAGCACCAGCAGCATTTTATCCACTCAAAAAGCAGTTTTGCTGAATTGTGAAATGCAGCTGAATGCTTAAGCACTTCAATATAAAATGTACATTTAATGGCAGAAAAAATGACCAGATCAACCATGTGCTCATCAGTTCTCTAACTAGCTATGCCTGTTTTGTTTGATACATTTATATTGTTTGCTTCTAATTTGCTTAGAAAAAAAAGGTCCATGGTTTCCATTAGTGATTTACTGTCTTATCAGCAACATTTGAACAGCTGTTTTGCATTTAAAAGGACATTAATTAAATTTTTACAGCTAATATGATGCAATCATCTATTCTGGCAGAGATGGCTCTTGGAATCCAGTCTAAAAAGCTCACAAAATGCAGAAGTATTACTATATTTAAGCTAGTATTTCTCTTGCGTTAACATGTAGCGTGTGCTTGTTTGTGCACAGTTGTGGACCGAACTCTTGTTGCGACCTGTAAGGATTCTATTGGCTGGATGTTCTCTAAGCTGGACACGAACAGTGACCTGTATCTGGATCAAGCTGAGCTGTCCGCCATTAATCTGGACAAGTATGAAGTGTGCATACGGCCCTTCTTCAACTCCTGTGACTCCTACCGTGATGGCAAAGTCTCCACAGCTGAGTGGTGCCTCTGCTTTTGGAGAGAAAGTGAGTTTTTAGAATCTTTACACAATTAAACCAGGTCTTAATGGTTTTTATAATAATATAATAAAATATTCTATATACTACCAAATATTTAGTACACTACCATTGAAATATTTGGGATCTGCAATATTTTTACATTTTTGAAAAGAAGCCTCGGTAACACTTAGGGACCAATTCTCTCTATTAACTAGTTGTTTATTAGCATGCCTGTTATTAACATACTGGCTGTTTATTAGTACTTATAACCGAATTATATTATGACCGAAGCCTCTTATGAAAAATACAGAAAAACAGTAATGTTGTGATATATTATTATAATTTAAAATAACTGTTTTCTATTTGAATATATTTTAAAATTAATTTATTTCTGTGATGGCAAAGCTGAATGTGCAGCATTATTACTCCAGTCTTCAGTGTCACATGATCCTTCGGAAATCATTCTGATATGATGATTTGGTGCTCACGATACATTTATTATTATTATTATCAATGTTGTGCTGAAAAAAGCTGAAATATATTTTAATAGAGACAATAGATACATAGTTTATGTAGCATTATCAATCCTCTACTGTGACATTTGATCAATTAAATGTGTCCTTGCGGAAAAAATTACTTTCTTAAAATCTTGCTGACCCCAAACTTTTGAACAGTAGTGTATGTCGTTTTTAAAAATTTGCATCATGATAATTAACCAAATTTAATTAAAACATACTGTTGATAAAAAAAAAATTTTTTTTTCATTACATGAACAAATAAAATATTATCAATGCAATACATATATTTACAAAAAAATAATAAAGTTTCATTCCTAATCAATAGTGTCAACTCTGACTAAGATAAGATGGCATTTTAGTAAAATATTTTCATCCAAAGGCAAAGACTCAAAAAAAGTAACACTGTTTTGTGACTCTAACCTCATTTATTTTGGTTGTGTCATTTCAAGAAACGATACAACCATACAGCTGTATTCTTTTTAGTATTTTAAACACGGACCTATGATAATTGGCACTAAAACTGCAGTGTAAAACTTCAGATTCAGGGCTGTTATGTTTGAATTGTGTCCTATCCTGATGGCCAAAGAGCACCAGCAGCATTTTATCCACTCAAAAAGCAGTTTTGCTGAATTGTGAAATGCAGCTGAATGCTTAAGCACTTCAATATAAAATGTACATTTAATGGCAGAAAAAATGACCAGATCAACCATGTGCTCATCAGTTCTCTAACTAGCTATGCCTGTTTTGTTTGATACATTTATATTGTTTGCTTCTAATTTGCTTAGAAAAAAAAGGTCCATGGTTTCCATTAGTGATTTACTGTCTTATCAGCAACATTTGAACAGCTGTTTTGCATTTAAAAGGACATTAATTAAATTTTTACAGCTAATATGATGCAATCATCTATTCTGGCAGAGATGGCTCTTGGAATCCAGTCTAAAAAGCTCACAAAATGCAGAAGTATTACTATATTTAAGCTAGTATTTCTCTTGCGTTAACATGTAGCGTGTGCTTGTTTGTGCACAGTTGTGGACCGAACTCTTGTTGCGACCTGTAAGGATTCTATTGGCTGGATGTTCTCTAAGCTGGACACGAACAGTGACCTGTATCTGGATCAAGCTGAGCTGTCTGCCATTAATCTGGACAAGTATGAAGTGTGCATACGGCCCTTCTTCAACTCCTGTGACTCCTACCGTGATGGCAAAGTCTCCACAGCTGAGTGGTGCCTCTGCTTTTGGAGAGAAAGTGAGTTTTTAGAATCTTTACACAATTAAACCAGGTCTTAATGGTTTTTATAATAATATAATAAAATATTCTATATACTACCAAATATTTAGTACACTACCATTGAAATATTTGGGATCTGCAATATTTTTACATTTTTGAAAAGAAGCCTCGGTAACACTTAGGGACCAATTCTCTCTATTAACTAGTTGTTTATTAGCATGCCTGTTATTAACATACTGGCTGTTTATTAGTACTTATAACCGAATTATATTATGACCGAAGCCTCTTATGAAAAATACAGAAAAACAGTAATGTTGTGATATATTATTATAATTTAAAATAACTGTTTTCTATTTGAATATATTTTAAAATTAATTTATTTCTGTGATGGCAAAGCTGAATGTGCAGCATTATTACTCCAGTCTTCAGTGTCACATGATCCTTCGGAAATCATTCTGATATGATGATTTGGTGCTCACGATACATTTATTATTATTATTATCAATGTTGTGCTGAAAAAAGCTGAAATATATTTTAATAGAGACAATAGATACATAGTTTATGTAGCATTATCAATCCTCTACTGTGACATTTGATCAATTAAATGTGTCCTTGCGGAAAAAATTACTTTCTTAAAATCTTGCTGACCCCAAACTTTTGAACAGTAGTGTATGTCGTTTTTAAAAATTTGCATCATGATAATTAACCAAATTTAATTAAAACATACTGTTGATAAAAAAAAAATTTTTTTTTCATTACATGAACAAATAAAATATTATCAATGCAATACATATATTTACAAAAAAATAATAAAGTTTCATTCCTAATCAATAGTGTCAACTCTGACTAAGATAAGATGGCATTTTAGTAAAATATTTTCATCCAAAGGCAAAGACTCAAAAAAAGTAACACTGTTTTGACATTGAAACATTACACACGTCAGATTTGAAATCAGCTCTAACTGGGATCGTTGCCTCAGCATTGCACATTTGTGCCCTGCACCTTGCTGGTCAGTGCCACGGTCCACAGTTTGCTCTGCTTGGTTATAACAGCGTGACAGAAGGGGGACACATGGCCGAACATCAGTGCCAGCACTAGTCTGTGTTTGAGCATGTTGAGCACTGCTTCAGAGAGTTAGGGCTTTCAAATCTGAAATGACGTTTGAATTGGATTTGAGGGGCATATTTGGTTTCCATTACAAAAGCCTAGAAGACGATATTGCATGCAAAGGTTGGTCGCAGAGCGCATTTATTTTACATCAGCATGCACTGGACTGGCGGTAAAGATAAAGAAGACACCAGTCGGTGGAGGCAGGGCTTTAGAAAAATCCATCTGTGTGCTGAGAGTTCTGCAGACTCATGCCACTAACTCATTCAGTTTGCACTGGATTAAGTTTAATTGGTTTTCTAAATATAATCAAACATTAAAGGGGGAGGGGAACCGTATGTTTGGATTATTGTAATCCAAATCTTTCATTTTCTCTACAAACACCCCCGTTGGATAGAAAATGAGAGATGGGAGAGCTGGAGAAGGCATAAATTGACCTTTAGCTGTTTGTGGCATGTGGAGAGAGTGATTTACAGTATTCATTTTGACGAGATGCATAAGTCTGGAGGAATTGCTATTCAGTGTGTGTTGCTAGGGTGACCGACAGTCAGTGTGTGTGTGTGTGTGTGTGTGTGTCAGCGGGGGAGAGCGTAGGTCTGTTTGCATGTGCATGTGTTTATCGCAACATGCTCTACATATTAATGAGACTCGTAAGTGTGATCTTTTGTTTGAGGAATTCTTTTTGAGTGTGTGTGTGTTTACTTAAACCATGGAGCATTGCAAGTTTCTTGACACAAACAGACATATGCTGCACTGTGCATCGCACTGGAGGGGCACAGAGCTGTATCTTAGCAGTATCTTAACACACACATACACACACACACACACACTAGACCAGCCTGGCTCTTGTTTGATGTGATTCTGCTCACGATATGTGGCTGGGCACTCTCATTTCTCCTGAGTAGGGCACAGTTGCTTTTGGCCTGTCACACTTTGTCTTCCCCTTGTATTTCCCCCGGTGGATAGGAAATGGCCATTGCAGAGGGAAAAACAACATCAGTGTTGGTTGTTGACAGCCTGCTCAGCCTCAAACTCTCTGGGACTAAAACCAGTCAGACAGAAGCCCACTGCATTTTTTTAGACTTGACCTGTCCGGGCCTCACATAGTGATAGTGTTGAAGCATTGGCGAATATTCCAGTATGTGCTGCACTGATTTATTTATTAAAGGAAACATTCTGTCATCATTTACTAACCTTCATGTCATTCCCGAACCTGTATTACTCTCTTTCCTATGTGGAATACAAAAGAAGATGTTTGGGAGAATGTCCAGGCTGCTCTTTTCCTTGTAATGGAAGTAAATGGGGACTAGGGCTGTTTACCATTAAAGTGGTCCTTACGATTTGTATGCTACTTTCGAAGTCTTCTGGATTCATACTCGTATAATATCTTTGTGTGATACCAAATCTTGCTTGACAGCAGTGGTGTGTGGTATGTGTCATTTGAAATAATATTGTATTTGTTGTTTTAACATTGTGTTAGCTGACATTTAGTATGTTTCAGAAACAAAAACAGGAACAGTCCACACATTCACTGAGTCATGTAAAAATACTTCCAACCAAGCTAAAAAAGAAGTGTTGTGTGAATTTGCGTTTTTGAACAAATTGTTTGAGTAAATGATTCACTAACTCATTGAGTCATAAAGTCACTTGCTTGGTTTTTGAATGAATAAGCAGCAACATAAATACATAAATAAATAGAATGAATGATTTACTCATTAAGACAGGGACTTGCCACCTACTGGCAGTTTTAGTTTCATATTATAATATAACAATATAATTTCATTTTAAAATAATTTTATATTCCAGTATTCACAATTTAATTTTTAAAAGACTATAGTGTAATTAGGTTAGAAAATGTCAGTATTAATGTTTTCATGTATGGTGAATAAAGAAAAATAAGTAGCTCTGTTGTCACAGAGTCGAACTCCGTGATTCCCTCTTCCGGCCATCAGAGGGCTCCCTCACCCGAATATTGACTCTTACACTCTCACACTACATTTCCCATCAGCCCCGTATCTGGCACTGATCACCTAGCCCAGCTGTAGCCCATCAGCTGGCCTATATAAACAGTCTGTTCCTTCCAGCTTATTGCGAAGTCTTGTTTTACTGCGGTTTACATTTCTGAGCGTTTTTCTCTGTTTTGCCTGCCTGTTGTGACCCTGTCTGTACCTCGTTGATGATACTCTGCTACCTGCCTTCTGGATTATCCGCCTTGTCTCT